GAGGACGAAGAAGAAAAAGAGGAGGAGGAGGAGGAGGAGGAGGAGGAGGAGAAGAAGAAGGAGGGGGAGGAGGAAGAGGCGACGTGGTTTCTCACCTGGGCGGCGATGGAGACGACGATGACGACGACGGCGGCGGCTCCGCGGGCGGGTGACTGGCGGGGKCGCTGGCGATGCCCGTATGCGCGTTCGAATTCGAACGAGCGGGCCCAGGCTGACCCCTCCCGCCACGTAGATGCTCCCAGCGCCCGCCCAACCCCGCCAACCAATCCCCCAACCCCAACAACGCCCCCTGGGCGCCCTACCGGGCCCGGTTCCGCCTGCGTTCGCCGGCCTCCGAAAGCCGTTCGTGCGAACGTGTTCGCGCCGCGATTGGGCGAACGTAACGAGGGTTGGCGCCAAACCCTCAGGACCCGGGTCCAAAAGTTGTCTCTGACCAAGTCCAAGCGGGTTGTGTCTCGGGGTGAGTCTCGCTCTATACGGGAGCACAGTGACACAGTCCAAAAGCGGTCTTCCATCCAGATCAATGGGCTAACTCCTTGCGATGCTTGTGGGGCAAGTCTGGCTATCTATTCTAGCGCCAGGGCATACCATGGGAGGTGCGGAGTGAAAAACAATTTCCTAACCTATTGGACAGTTAATGATGTGATCTGAGTATCCGGGTCCAGGATCCCTGGACCCCTTTTGTTCTTGGGTTGGATCACTGATGACCAAGCTACCCTGCTAATAACGTTCGGGAGCTCACCATTGCCCCTCCACAGCAGGTTCGTTAATTGTCTCTTTAGCGATCGGACGACCTCCCTGCTAAGGGTCCAAATTGCGGATTTATACCACAGGGCCGCCAACACTACGTTGTTGATCGCGAGCGCTCTACCGATAAGGGAAGTGTGTTGGTCTTTCTAGTTAGCCAATTTTTCTAGAGCAGACTTAAGGATCCACTCATCATTCGAGGCAGGTTTACCCAATGTTGTCAACCTAATTCCTAGCACTCTGATCGGGGTCATTTCCGGGAGCCATTTGACCCGTGAAAGCTCGGGGGGGTGTGCCCCTTGATGGTGGATCCACCACCCCAAGGTCTTGTTTCCCCAATTGACAGTCATGTATGAGACTGCTGTGAAATTGTCAAATAATTTCCTAATCTCTTCCATGTTTGCTGCAGTGGCGTCTATCATGAGCGTCAGGTCGTCCGCAAACATCGAGCAAACAGGGATCGCATCTTCCTAGATAGCAGAGATCTGCAGTCTCCCCAGGTCTTTGTTGGCACGGAGGTTCGCTGTCAGCGCCTCCATTACGATGATGAAGAGGAAGGGTGTCAAAGGGTTCCCTTGGCAAACCGATTGTTGAAACGAAAAAGTCGACGCTATCCTGCCATTCTGCCATTGACTTGGACACACGTGGTGATATTATGATGTGGTATTTCGGTCCAGCTCTGGAAGACTGGTCTGATGTTCATTTTTTTTCATAAATTTGTCTAAAAATAGTCAGTCCACATGGTCATACACTTTTTCAAAGTCAATGAAGACAACAACCACATTCTGCTTATCTTGCCTTGTTAATTTGAGAAGTTTATTAACGAGAAGAATATTGTCCTGGATCCTGTGTCCTTTGACGAAACCAGTCTGCGTTAGGTGAATAATATCGTGCAGGATCGGGATCAGTCGGTTTGCCAGAACTTTCGCAAGAATTTTATAAACAACTAACGTTATCGACTGGTAGTTCATGATATTCATTTTGTCCCCCTTTTTGTGCAACAGGGTGAGGATACCTTGCCCCACCAATTCCCCCATCCGCCCCGTGTCCCACACATGGCGATAGAAATTCATGAGATT